CTTTTCATATTGTCCTTCTGAACTCTTATGATCAGCCGATTTACTATCCTGTACTTAATAATATACTAAGAATGTTATGTGTCCAGTTTTGCTTAAGAAATTGAGTGGTAACAAACATATGCAGGTAGAGGCTCCTACCATGGAAGGTGGTTTGATTCCTGGAGTCAATATGTGCGAAGATTTCTCATTGGCAAGTTCTGTTCCGAAACACCGACATCGCAAGCTTAAGAGTGTTATCATCACTGGCTTTTGCCCTTGGAAGACAATGATTGAGCTAACGAGATGTATTCTTGATTATGCAACGTCACTAAAGCACCTTACCCTGGACACTACTCTTGGATATCGTAGGAGGAGGTTGGGCAACTGTTTCCCTTTGGGTAGGGATACAATTATGGAAGCCTGAAAGGCTATTGCGGCTATCAGGACATACATTGAGGGGAAAGTACCTTCAAAGATCACGTTTAAGGTTCTTGAGCCCTGCAACTGCAATAAGTGTCAAGAATGTTGAGTTATGTTATCGTAATATGGTTATGTTATGAGTATAGCTTAGAGCCCCTAAAAAAGTGTAATCTATTCAATGACATCTCTACTACTTCCTCCGATCCATATTACTTGTTTTAGATTTGTCTAGATACGGATGTATCATGACACGTCGGAGGGAGTATTAAATTGGAGTTGGTCCTTGCATGTTTGCCTCCACCCCCTCCGGTACGCCCCCCACCTCCCACATAGGATATTCCTAGATTTAACTACATAAATACACATAATGAACTCAAAATATTTCACATATCATTTACTACTTATTTTTCCTATACAATTGACCAGCCAACTTGGCAGTGTGTGTCGGCTCATATCATTTATGTTATTGGAGAATCAGAGAATGTATGTTGGATAGTAATGACCTTGATGACTATGTCGCTATGAGTGGTGTATGTTCTGTTTGGAGGAATGCCATTGCACCTCCAATCGAGGGCCGCAAGCAGGGCGACATTGAGATCCTATGTGTCCGACTGCACCGATGCATTGTTCTTGAGAAAGAAATCGTCAAATTCAATGATGGAGATGTAGACACTTTAGTGGCCAATCTTTCCACTGGCCGGATGGTGAAGCGTTGCTTTTCACTCTTCACCAACCATCTTTTTGTTGGATATTCGGACTGGCTACCGATGTTCGTTGAAGATAATGAACCGTACCTTGTCAAACTATGCGGGCTATTCACGGGCTATCTTGTGCAATTTCCAATAGGGGTCATCAATGAACATTACTCTCATTTTGCCGTGTAGACTCGTGGCACTCTGAGGTTGGTATTGAGTAGAGGACCACACTTTTTCCTTTTTTTTGAGTGGAACCTTTCCTTTATTACAAAAGGTGTATTTCAGTGATGCAGACAAGTTTCACGCCGTGAGATGAAACTGCCTACAGAATGTGCGAGTACAACCAAGCGGTCCGCTTGGTAAGCTATCAACAAAAAATGCAATCAATGAAAAAAGGAATGTGCGAGTACAGTCTAAGACCCTAGAAGCATACGCTTTTCCCTCCTTTCAGTGGCACACGCCCTTTGCTATTGGGTCAAAGCCCTTCAGCCCGCTGCAAGTCCTAATGCAGTATTGCAAGTTCTTACACAGTTACATTTTTTGTTATAATTATTGTCATTGTCGTGGTTATTTCTTGTATAGTTACATTTTTGTTACAATTGTTGGCCGGGATGGCTTTTTATATGCAAGGAGGTGAACATACAGGTGTGAACACGTCAAGTCAGTAGCACGTAACATGTTTTTGGTAATATGAGGTCTGTTTGATAGTGATCTCATGTTTTGTGTTACACCGTGTGAGAAATGCGATGGTATATCTCTTCTGTTTTGGAAGAGACGAAGTCTCGACAAAACTCATGCACCACAAAATATGCATCTTACATAGAACTTTACTTATGGCATGTTTATATGTGCTTTAGCAAAATCGTACATGTATACTAGAACGAATACCCGGCGGCGAAAAGTTTCTCTACAGAGCATGCAAAGATAAGAAGCCAGTAAGCACAAATGAATATACTTAGAGCATTGTGTAGAGGGGGAAAACCCTACAAATTTGTCTCTCGCCCACCTTAATCACCGCGAGCAGACAGGCGGGACAAGATAGAAAGGGCCTCAATACTCCAACCACCAGTCCACGTTGGAGCATGGAGGAGAGTGAAGAGGAAGAGAGGGACAACGCATAGCAACATAGGAAAGGAACGGCTTTGCTACACACATTAAATGATTTTACAGATGTTTAGACTTGCTAGTGTAGGCAGTTGTGATTGCGACCTAGGGGTGAAAGTTTGCCCACCAATGAAAATCAGGGGGGAGGTTTAGTATTAAGTTGGAAGGGGTCCGTCGGAGGCCCGCAAAGCTCTGTGTATGTAGCATTTTTGGAAAGAAAAGACAAAAAAGAAAAGAATATTGGTGGAGAGTGTAGGGAGTGAAATTGAAAAAGTACTACCTTTGTCCTGGTTTGTTGGTCCTTTTAGTATTTTGCGCCAACTTTTGACCATAAATTTAATTAATAAAATATTAACGCGTGTCAAAAAATAGTATCATCGAAAACTAGGTTCAAATACAAATCCAACGATATAATTTTTCATGACATGTATTAACTTTTTGTCAGTTAAATCTGTGGTTATATTTTGACAAACTAGGAAGAGAAACAATAACCCAGGGCCGAGGTAGTAGTACCTCCGTCCTGATTTATTGATCCTCATTGTATTCGGTGTCAAATTTTAACTATAAATTTAACTAACAAAATGTTCATACATGTCAAAAGAAATATATCATTAAAACCTATGTTTAAATATGAATCTGTCGATATAATTTTCGTAGACATGCGTTATTATTTTATCAATTAAATCTTTAGTCAAAATTTAACACAAATTCCAAAAAAGAAAGACCGATAAACCAGGTCGAAGGTAGGAGTAGTACGTTGGCTCTATGGACCTTGTCGTGTTGCTCTAGATGGGAAAGGTGGAGCAGGGGTGCAGAGTTGCTTGGCCATGGATGAACGCGGAATTGCTTGCTCAACCCCGACGGTGTGGACCGTGGAGTGAGCTCCTCCGAAGTTGCTCTAGCCAAGGCCCCACGCCGAGTGTCCAGACTGGACCACGACGCGCTCCTCCTCCTCCTGCATAAATCCCCCAAAACCCCGGCCGGCCGAGTCGTTGGCTCTGAACTCTGAGTACGGCGCAAGGGAGCACTTTTGGGGCTGACTCTTCGCCGGCGGCATGTTCCTGCGGCAGAGCCATCCCGTCGTGCACCCGGACCCGGCGGCTACCGCTCCGGCCGCGCAGGGGCAGGGGCCGGTGGCTGCTGCTCCGGCTGCGGTGGCGCAGGCGCAGGGACCGGTGGCTCCTGCTCCGGCTCCGGTGGCGCAGGCGCAGGGACAGGGGCAGGCGGCAGCTGCGGCGGCGCAGGCGCAGGGACAGGGCCCGGCTCCGGCACCGGCCGCGGGGGCGCAGGGGGCGAACGCGAACGGGAACGCGCCGCCGCCCGGGGTGCTGATGGTGGACCTGCGGGGGGCGCCGGGGACGCGCTGGGGGCTCGGGGCCCGCCTCGCGCAGGCGCTGCTCGCGGCCTCCGCCGTCCTCTTCATGGCCTCCACCGACGACTTCCGCGCGCTCACCGCCTTCCGGTGAGTGCCCCCCTCCGGCCCTCCCGCTCCACATCTTGTTCCCCCCACTAGGGTCTCGATCCATTTCCCCTTTGCTCCGAAAGCAGATCGATTTCTCCTTGGAAATTTGGAACTGAGCAGATGATGCTGTGTGAGGTGGGTTTTTCTCGTTTTCAGTTGAAGTCTGAAGAGATTGCATATGCATCTGCCTCAGGGATGACTGCATATTAGTTAGCCACATTCCCAGAATCTGTCTGTTCACCTGCTAGTATTTCTGTATATTGTTGAAATTGAGATGATCTTTATGTTTCCTTGAGTGCAGATCACTCTAGCATTTTTTATCTTAGTGCCACCCAGTAACAAAATTAGCAAGAATAGTGTTTTTGTTTGAAAAATGCTAATTACTACTCCCTCTGTAAATTAATATAAGAGCGTTTAGATCACTAAAATAGTAATCTAAACGCTCTTATATTAGTTTACGGAGGGAGTACTACTAAGTAGAAGTATTTCACATCCAAGCTGAATTGATGGATATAATCATACAAGCACATTATCCAACTTGCAAATAGCAGAGTTTCAGATCAACGTACACAGCTGCCAATGAATGATACGCAACCAGCCTATGCGTATTAGCGAAAAATAGCACGTAGTTTCCAGTAGAAATTGTTATTGGGTGCTTTCTTAATCCTCCAAAGAGAAATGCTCATACTCGTTTGCATTTTGATACTTTTCCTTTTGAATTGGTTTGGCATGCTGAAAGAGGCAATGCAATTAGATGGTGACATTGCCCTGTGGTATCATCTCAGCTGTCTCCTTGGATGCAGCAATTTTTAGATTGAGCCTTCCCTTTTTTTTGGTCTCCCCAGTTTGATGTCTGCATGCATAGTTTCCAGGGCATTCGGCACAGAGCATTTCACTGTGTATGCCGATAAGTTTGGTTCGCACTCTGCCATTCTGGTTATGGGAATTCGGAATAGTTGATTTGTAATGGACAATCGTGTACTGTCCTGTGCATACATATTGTTGGTCAGGTTAAACATTTGAGCAAGTGCATCCAGTGTTTTACGATTAGTCTGGCATCTTGAAAGAGGCAATGCAGATCAGATGGTGACACGTTGATGTTCTCTGTGATATCATCTCAGCTGTCTTTCTTGGATACGGTGCTAGGTTGGTTAGCATTCTGGTTGTGGGAACTCAGAACAGTGTGATTGTTGTAATGTACATTCCTGATATGCATTACATGTTGTCTTATGCTAGTATGCATGTGTATCTTATCTTACTTCTGTGGTGCGATCAGATAGTGTTTTGTATTAGGATGTTGCTTTCAGAATTCAGAACAGGGGATCGATTTCCTTCTATAGATGAACTCACTCATTGTTGTTCTTTTGAGCAGCCTCCTTGTAGCAGCAGAGTCTTTGCAATGCCTGTGGAGCCTCTCCCTGGCCGCCGTGGACGTCTACGCGCTTCTTGTGAAGCGCTCCTTCCGGACACCCCGAGCTACCACCATATATTCCACCGGGGACTGGGTAAGTCACACTCTATTTTTCTCAGGCACCTCAAATTCAAAACAAACACCCATCTGCCGTTCCCTGTGGACTCACTCCTGCACTGAAAATGTTTCACAGACATGAACATGCAAACAATCATTTAAGCATCACATGTATTTTTCCTTTCTCCTAAGGCCTTGTTCGGTTGCGTGTGAATCCGAGTGCATTGAAGGGAAAATAGGAACCAATCCTAGCCAATTCCCTTCAATCCTCTTGGGGAGAGGATTAACCGAACAAAGCCTAAAGAAGTATGCATAGATACGGTTCTGACCCTCCCCCCGGTGTCTCATCGGCAGGTCACTGGAGCACTGAGCTTCGCCGCAGCGAGTGGGTCGGCCGCCATGACCACTCTCATCAACAACGACCTGCTACTGTGCTCGGAGAACCACTGCCCGACCTTTATGGCCGCCACCGCCATGGCTTTCTTGAGCTGGTTCGCCATCGCGCCATCCTGTGTCATTAACCTCTGGGCGGCGGTCTACGCAGTGCAGAGAGCTTAGTCTGCGGAGCAAGAACCAGGCTGTTTGACCAACTTAGGTGGCACATCTAATATAATTACTACTTACGACTCGGTATATTATCGATATTTCTGTAGTAAAATCAGGGAGTAGCTTGATGTTCAGAAGGGTGGTTGTGAAGCTCTGCACTTTATCTCCAGGAGCGTATGTATGCCATCTTATTATGCGAGGCTGGCTGGACTGGTGGTTGTGATCTGGTGATGACCTGACTGATGGGCTACTTGTGTAGAGCTCAAGGTTGCTGATGATATGCTCAGTATGTTCTATTTCGTGACTTTCGTATATTTTGTTATTGATATCTGGATCTTAGTCCCCGAGATTACTTGCGCCTGTGCGGTATATCGGTTCATTCAGTAGGCCCTTGGTTCTTCTCCTATGTGAAAATGCCAATAGACGTTAGAACCATCAGTGTGACAGTGTTATTACTTGGTCAAGGAAATTTCTGTTGGCGTGATAAGGAAAAGGCATAATTCGTTACAATATGACACAGGAGATTTGATTCAGTATTTCGATTCAAGCCACAATGAAGGCTAGCCACTGGTTTTCTATTCCTGCAAGAAGCTTCCTCTATGAGTGCACTACAATTGCAAAGGGGGGAAACAGCAAACCTAAATGGTGAAACAAATCATCTCGAGAGATGGGTCAAATTCAGCATCGATCCGTACTAAAACCTAGGAAGGTTCGCCAGGAACTTGATATCCCTTGCATTAGGGGAAATTCGCAAGGTCATGCAGGTGCATAGGCACGCACCTGCACAATCGCCTAAAGCCATTGATTTGGGTTCTGATCCGGAAACTTGTTTCGCGTGAAATTTCCTGAAAAGAGACGAAAACTAAACATGTCAATACGAAACAGCACACATGTTCATCATGTGCTGAAATACTTCGTCCAACCATTTTTGTACGTCCTTTCCCTCTACATTCCGTCTTGTTTGTCTCCGCCTTCGATCGATTTTTCTTTTCAATAGTGTTTCATCCATTTTTAATGTTCATGTCCTTCTTACTCGTGGCCCCTGTTCAACTGTCAGCTTTCGGTGCTCTTCCCTTTCAGTTCGTTTATGTTTTTTCTTTCCAAATTCTTTCATCCTATTGTTTCTTAATTAGTTTTATGTATGTCCAATTACCTTGTTAACTCCAAATTCATGGCATGCTCCTTCCCATCCTCAATCATACACTGTTTATGCAATGATTCTTCCATCGGATTTCATTCTTAATTCTAACCTACTAGATCTTGTTTTGTCAAGTTAGGTTATACGAAGCCCGCGTTCATTCGTTTTCTAACATACTCTTCTTTAACCCATGCAAAAAAAAATTTACTCTTCTTTAACGCCGACCCTCAAACCTCTCGTATCCGTTCGGACGAAACTGTCCGGACCCCGCAAGCCATCCAACGCCGAGCCCTATCCATCTGCGTCTCAGTCTGGACCATAATTTTCCAGCAAACCGGGACCAAACCTGGGCAATGGGTGGGGGCTTTGCGGGGGCCCAGACACAAGCCGCATAATACTTTGATATCCGGATCTTAGTCCCCGAGATTACTTGCGCCGTGTGCGATATATCGGTTCATTCAGTAGGCCCTTGGTTCTTCTTCTATGTGAAAATGCCAATAGACGTTAGAACCATCAGTGTTATAAATTGGTCAAGGAAATTCTGTTGGCGTGATAAGGAAAAAGTGTTGGGGAACGTTGCAGAAAACAAAAATTTTCCTACGGTTTCATCAAGATCCATCTAGGACTTCATCTAGCAACGAGTGATTGGATTGCATCTACATACCTTTGTAGATCACGCGCGGAAGCGTTCAAAGAACGGGGATGAGGAAGGCGTACTCGACGTGATCCAAATCACCGGAGATCCTAGCGCCGAACGGACGGCACCTCCGCGTTCAACACACGTACGGTCAGCGTGACGTCTCCTTCTTCTTGATCCAGCAAGAGGGAAGGAGAGGTTGAAGAAGATGGCTCCAGCAGCAGCACGACGGCGTGGTGGTGGCGGAGCTGTAGTACTCCGGCAGGGCTTCGCCAAGCACTATGGAGGAGGAGGATGTGTTGGAGAGGGAGAGGGAGGCACCAAAAATCAAGGTTAAGAAGTCCTCCATCTCCCCACTATATATAGGAGGGCCAGGGGGGGGCGCCGGCCCTAGGAGATCCAATCTCCTAGGGGGGTGCGGCCAAGGGGAGGAATCCCTCCTCCCCAAGGCACCTAGGAGGTGCCTTCCCCCTTCGGGACTCTTCCCTTCTTGAACCCTAGGCGCATGGGCCTCTTGGGGCTGGTGCCCTTGGCCCATATAGGCCAAGGCGCACCCCCTACAGCCCATGTGCCCCCCCGGGGCAGGTGGCCCCACCCGGTTGACCCCCGGGACCCTTCCGGTGGTCCCGGTACAATACCGGTGACCCCGAAACTTGTCCCGATGCCCGAAATAGTACTTCCTATATATAATTCTTTACCTCTGAACCATTCCGGAACTCCTCGTGACGTCCGGGATCTCATCCAGGACTCCGAACAACATTCGGGTTACTGCATATACATATCCCTACAATCCTAGCGTCACCGAACCTTAAGTGTGTAGACCCTACGGGTTCGGGAGACATGTAGACATGACCGAGATCGCTCTCCAGTCAATAACCAACAGCGGGATCTGGATACCCATGTTGGCTCCCACATGCTCCTCGATGATCTCATCGGATGAACCACTATGTCGAGGATTCAAGCAATCCCGTATACAATTCCCTTTGTCAATCGGTATGCTACTTGCCCGAGATTCGATCGTCTTTATCCCAATACCTCGTTCAATCTCGTTACCGGCAAGTCACTTTACTCGTACCGTAATGCATGATCCCGTGACCAGACACTTGGTCACTTTGAGCTCATTATGATGTTGCATTACCGAGTGGGCCCAGTGATACCTCTCCGTCATACGGAGTGACAAATCCCAGTCTTGATCCGTGTCAACCCAACAGACACTTTCGGAGATACCCGTAGTATACCTTTATAGTCACCCAGTTACGTTGTGATGTTTGGCACACCCAAAGCACTCCTACGGTATCCGGGAGTTACACGATCTCATGGTCTAAGGAAAGGATACTTGACATTGGAAAACTCTAGCAAACGAACTATACGATCTTGTGCTATGTTTAGGATTGGGTCTTGTCCATCACATCATTCTCCTAATGATGTGATCTCGTTATCAATGACATCCAATGTCCATAGTCAGGAAACCATGACTATCTGTTGATCAACGAGCTAGTCAACTAGAGGCTTACTAGGGACATGTTGGTGTCTATTATTCACACATGTATTACGATTTCCGGATAACACAATTATAGCATGAATAAAGACAATTATCATGAACAAGGAAATATAATAATAATGCTTTTATTATTACCTCTAGGGCATATTTCCAACAGTCTCCCACTTGCACTAGAGTCAATAATCTAGTTACATTGTGATGAATCGAACACCCATGGAATTCTGGTGTTGATCATGTTTTGCTCTAGGGAGAGGTTTAGTCAACAGATCTGCTACATTCAGGTCTGTGTGTACTTTACAAATATCTATGTCTCCATCTTGAACATTTTCACGAATGGAGTTGAAGCGACGCTTGATGTGCCTTGTCTTCTTGTGAAACCTGGGCTCCTTGGCAAGAGCAATAGCTCCAGTGTTGTCACAGAAAAGCTTGATCGGCCCCGACGCATTGGGTATGACTCCTAGGTCGGTGATGAACTCCTTCACCCAAATTGCTTAATGTGCTGCCTCCGAGGCTGCCATGTACTCCGCTTCACATGTAGATCCCGCCACGACGCTCTGCTTGCAACTGCACCAGCTTACTGCCCCACCATTCAAAATATACACGTATCCGGTTTGTGACTTAGAGTCATCCAGATCTGTGTCGAAGCTAGCGTCGACGTAACCTTTTACGACGAGCTCTTCGTCACCTCCATAAACGAGAAACATTTCCTTAGTCCTTTTCAGGTACTTCAGGATATTCTTGACCGCTGTCCAGTGTTCCTTGCCGGGATTACTTTGGTACCTACCTACCAAACTTACGGCAAGGTTTACATCAGGTCTGGTACACAGCATGGCATACATAATAGAACCTATGGCTGAGGCATAGGGGATGACACTCATCTCTTCTATATCTTCTACCGTGGTCAGACATTGAGCTGAGCTCAATTTCACACCTTGCAACACAGGCAAGAACCCCTTCTTAGACTGATCCATATTGAACTTTTTCAATATCTTATCAAGGTATGTGCTTTGCGAAAGACCTATGAGGCGTCTTGATCTATCTCTGTAGATCTTGATGCCTAATATATAAGCAGCTTCTCAAGGTCCTTCATTGAAAAACTTTTATTCAAGTAGGCCTTAATGCTGTCCAAGAGTTCTATATCATTTCCCATCAAAAGTATGTCATCTACATATAATATGAGAAATGCTACAGAGCTCCCACTCACTTTCTTGTAAACGCAGGCTTCTCCATATGTCTGCGTAAACTCAAACGCTTTGATCATCTCATCAAAGCGAATGTTCCAACTCCAAGATGCTTGCACCAGCCCATAAATCGAGCGTTGGAGCTTGCACACCTTGTCAGCATTCTTAGGATCGACAAAACCTTCCGGCTGCATCATATACAATTCTTCCTTAAGGAAACCATTAAGGAATGCCGTTTTGACGTCCATTTGCCATATTTCATAATCATAGAATGCGGCAATTGCTAACATGATTCGGACGGACTTTAGCTTCGCTACCGGTGAGAAAGTCTCATCGTAGTCAACCCCTTGAACTTGTCGATAACCCTTAGCGACAAGCCGAGGTTTATAGATGGTCACATTACCATCCGCGTCTGTCTTCTTCTTAAAGATCCATTTATTTTCTATGGCTCGCCGCTCAACGGGCAAGTCAGTCAAAGTCCATACTTCTTTTTCATACATGGATCCTATCTCGGATTTCATGTCTTCTAGCCATTTGTCGGAATCCGGGCCCGCC